GTTGCGCGATTCCCCCGCGAGAGGTCGTTCGTCGTTTGCGCGCCATCATGCGTGCTTCGACACGTGACCGAAGATTCGCTCCGCTTCCACAAGATGGCGGTCGTGTGTATTTTGTTTTCAGACAATTTGCAGCACGTCTTGTCACGCGATTGTGTATCATCGTTAAACATTCGCGAGTTTTCCCTTTAAATTCGTCGAATTTTGAGCCAAACACGGGATCAACAGAAATTCCTCGGTTATTCTTAATAACGATTGTTCGCCAGATCGAGAGGATGAAAGGAATGACAAAAACCGGAAGCATACGATAGGTATTCGCGTATAGTTCGTAGATAGTTTTAGCGAAGGTTTTGGCGAAGGATGCTTCAGACACTGCGCGAACGTTCGCAAAAACGCAAGAAGCTGCTTGCTCAGACGGTGAGGACGATTCGAACTTGGTCGTTGAGGTTATGTTCACCTGCGATGCGAACTCGTTTCTTCTTTCACGCAGTTGGGCGTCTCGAGCGTGGACGAGTTGCGGCAGATCCTTGGAACGGACGTCGACGACACGCAGAAGAAAAAATTAAAGTCCGTGACGGAGAAATCGGAGAACGGTGTGAAAGATTCGAAGGGTGAAGCAGCATTGACCGACGAGATCGTTTACAAAGATTCGTCCACGTTTTTGAAGGTATGCGAAACTGCATGAAACTCCGTAGTAACCGCGAGTAAACACTTGGATTATGCTCTTTACCAACGGATTTACTTCTTTCAAGGGAACTCAGTCGTCGAATCCGCACAATGACTACTGTCAACATTTCATCGACACGGGTCAGCGGCCCCAAAACTTCATTCGAGACGTGGGCTTGGCCGACAGATTCGAGGAGTATCCAAAACTGCGGGAGCTGATCAAGCTGAAGGACGACCTGATCGCCGAGACGGCGACACCACCCATGTACCTAAAAACAAATTTGCTCACGTACAATTTGAAGGAACTGAACAGCAAATTCGACGTGATTTTGATCGAGCCTCCTCTGGAGGAGTATCAACGAACCTGCGGTGCCACGAACGTGCAACTTTGGAACTGGGATCAGGTGAGATTACGCAACAACGTCTGCGCAACGTGTAACCTCCGCCAAATGTTATCATTGTGTTATTAGTATGGCATTGATACGCATGTATTTTTCGCAGATAATGGAATTGGACATCGGCGAGGTGGCGGCCAATCGAAGCTTCGTGTTTCTCTGGTGCGGTAGCAGCGATGGACTCGATATGGGACGTTTCTGCCTTCGGAAATGGGGCTTCAGACGATGCGAGGATATATGTTGGATTCGCACCAATATCAATAACCCAGGACACAGTAAAAACCTGGATAGCAAGGCTGTTCTTCAGAGGACCAAAGAGCATTGTCTAATGGGTATCAAGGGCACTGTCAGACGATCCACCGACGGAGATTTCATTCACGCAAACGTTGACATCGACCTGATTATCTCGGAGGAACCGGAGTATGGCTCTATAGAGAAACCAGTCGAGATTTTCCATATAATCGAACACTTTTGT